GGGGGGGGGGGGGGGGGGGGGAGGATCGCTCTCAGCAGCTTGACGAGTGCGAGATAGGAGGAATTTCTAAATGGGAGTTAACGTGGAAAAATATATCGAGCGAGGAGGGTCGATCGCGCGATCGTCGACGGTGCTCGTCCGGTTACCACGCGCGGCTCGACTCAGCCGCGCGGGGAGGAATTCGCAGTTCGTCCCGTTCGATCGAAACAACGACGGTGACACCCCCGCGTCTCGGCGAAGCGAAGAGAGAGAGGAGCCCTCTTCGGAGCCCCCCCTCGTCCATTGGTCACGGCGCCGCGTGCGCGCGTCTTTCCACCCTGTCGGTCGTCCAGGCCGCACTAGACTTTCCCACAGTTTTGAGAGAAGGTTGAACACCCCTGACTCGAGTTTTCTATTTGGCAGTTATTTTAAAGTCCGTCTCGGCTCCCCACGAGAGACCCTCAACAGATCGCGGCGTTAATTACGACTCGGTCGTAACGCGCGTGCTCGCTCGCGCCAGCGCGCAAAGCGACTAACAGTAATTATCGTTAATTATTATTCTCATTATTATAAGAAATATTATCGTTATTGTTACTATTATCGAAAGGCCGCAACAACGCTCTTCCGAGGACTGCGCGATCTCGTATCTCGCGACGCCGTCGGACCCGTCGCCGTGTCCATCATCATCGTGCGCGCCGATGCCGCGAGGTCGTATCGATCGTCCCGATCGCCGCGGACCAAGTCGCGCCGTTCGCGGCGACCGCGCGAATCGTCGATCCGCGAGGATCGATCGATCAGAGCCCGCGGACACGCGACGAACTCCCTCGGCAGCGCGTCCTCGCACCCACCACCTACCTTCGTTTACGATCTAGAGGCACCCTCTAAATCTCCGTCCAGCTCGCGTCGCGCGTCGACCTACGACCCGGTTTACCGCACTAAAAACGTAATTAAGTCACTTTAACGAAAGAACGCAGCCGCAACGGAGCGTGACGTCGGCGATCGGACCTCCTTGTTCCCCTCGTTCGCTCGTCTCGAATCCGAAGGAGCGTCTTCTTCGGGCCTTCTTGCGCCTGACGTCGTCACCGCCGCCGGAAGTTCGTCCTCCCCGTTGATTTCCCCTTCGTCGCCTCGGTGGTCTCTCTCGCTCTTCCTCGCTCCTTACGTTAATCGCCTGACTGAAAAGCGGCACGAGAACCCGGCGGCGGTTCCCAGCGTGTAAGCGAAGCAATCCGAGAACGCCCCCGCGTGTCCCCCGGGGCTGAGTCGGAAGGGCGCGAAAGGGGGCTAAACGTCTGTCTTTCCGCGCTTTCCCGTCACTTCGACGCGCTCCGTAGCCGCCTCCTCGAATCGCATCGGACGTCGGTTCCTGCGAAGAAGAGGGAAGCAAGCGCGAGTATAACGCGGCATGTCTCACTGGTGATCGCCGGAAGTTCGGGCTCTCGTCGATTTCAATTAATCGCTCGCGACCCTCGCGACCGCACTCCGCCCTCTCGGTTGGAATTTTTCACTCCGGACTTTTCACTCGTGTTCCGCAAAGACCGAGATATTTCATTTCCGCATTACATCGCGAAATTGAAAATTTCGCCCCGTTATTTCACGAATACTCCGATTACATTCATTTATTGTTCTTGTTAGCGGGACGTATGGTCGTAAAAAGTTGGGAAAATTAATTAATATCGACTGATTCTCGAGGCTCGCTCGCGTTCCACTCGTGTTCCGTACCGGGATCGTTGCGAACACGCGATAAACATCGCGCGCTCTCGCTAATCCCCTTTAATTTGTAACTATCGTGCTGTGCGCGAAGTCAATTTTCGATAATGAACGAGTGTCTGACTACTTGAAATCGAGTAATCGAACGATCGTGCGTCCGGGTTAATGAATAAATAATAACACGAGAGTTCACTTCGTACGGTAGGCGACCAGCAATTAGCGCGTCGGGACAGCGGAGGAATAGACATTCGCGTCCGGCGCGATTGGAAATTTCCAACGCGGCGACCAACGAGCTAAGCTTGTTACACGGTGCTTGTTAACATTTCCACGCGGTATTAACTTCGTTATCGTCATCTGGCCTGCGGCATTCGCACATAATGATCGCAGGCCGGCCGATCGAGGCGACCGGGCGAATTTACGCGGCGATTTCGAATGCGCGCGGCTAAATCGCGCGATAAAACGAATCCCCGGCTCCTGCGAGTCGGGAGAAGAGGGGACGATATACTTTCGGCGCGATTGGAAATCGGAGGTGGGAGGAGGGGGTATAATCGCGTGATGGAAAACGGGTCGTCCGTGTACTCACCAAATTCCAGGAGGCGCTATCCCTGGCATCTTTTGTGCATTTTTTCGGTGGCTCGACCGGGGCAGTCTATTACTGGACGATTATGTGCGGCGCACGAAGTAGTATCACCACCGTAGCCAAAACCGTGAATATCGTGAAGACGAACAGGCAAACCCTTGATTTCACGGGAGAAAGAAATACGAGCGTTAATTGTACGAGTTCAGACCTCCTCGATGGGAAATTAGGTAGTACAGATAAAGTTTCGCTCTGTTTCCCGTACGTAGGTAGCAATTGGCAAGACGTCCGGGTCAGAAACAAAGGTGTATCCGAATGGGGAGAGAGAGAGAGAGAGAGAGAGACACTCGAGATCGTCGAAATTAGTCGGCAAATGAATTCCAAGTAGTCGGCTTTGTCGAACGAGCGTATTTCGCGTGATTAAAGCCGATCGATACCGTCAATTCCAAGTGTACATAGTTAAAATTAGCTGGTACCGAGTAAACAGACGCCAAATGACGGAATTACACGATGCATATGCGCTTAGAATTAACTCTCGTTGCGAGGGTGAATCCACAATGCAGCCGTTTGCGACTTATTTATTTAGCATTATTTAGCGTATCGGGTCGAGCATAAATGCCGCGTGAGTTTTCCCCGCGCGAAAAAAGAGTCTCGCGTCTAACGAGAAGAGCCGTCTCTTTGTCTCTGGGATTTTTCGCGGGCGCGAGGTTCCGCCTGAAACCACATGAAAGATTGAAAACATCCCCCAACCTGTCGACCACCATGGCGGCGAACTTCCAGTCGCTAATGACCTCGTCGTCCTCGTCCGCCTTTTTCATGCGGCTCGTGATGAACTGCAATTCCTTGAGAATCGTGTGAAGTTCCTTCTGCATGCCGCTGAGGGGCAACGACGCCGAAGTCTCCTCGACCGTCGCCGGTCTGGTCGACAGCGGTGTGCCGTACGCCGACCTGCTGCAAGAGGTCATGTAAAATATTACTTTCCAAGGTGTCTCACGTCCTCACCCTCTCTCTTCCTCCTCCTTCTATCTTCCTCTCAAGACCGGCAGGGCGTCGATAGAAATTTTCACGGATCGCCGGAGAACTCGGAGAAATTCCGACACCTCGGAGTGTCTCGCGTATAATGGCCGTTTAAATGATTGAAATAGCCCGGGGTTCCGCGCTCGATATTAACGATATTACGAATTACCGCGTGCATTTGGCGCTTTATCGTCGGATTTGCATTACTCTCGTGTTAATAACTATTTCTTCCTCGACACACAAGGACCGTTAATTCCCGTGTATTTATTTGTATCCTCGTTGCGATTCGAACTTTCGTCGCGCTATTGTTGATAATTATGCGATTCATTCATTCTCGAGATATTTGAATTCGGAGAGTGTGAGGCGCGTTCCAACATTATTTTACGATACTTCCAATTTCCGCGCACATACGACTGAAAGGTTGTCCGCTATATTTTCGGCGCAGTTTAGAGCGCGACCAAATGTTTCAATTGGGAGAGCTTATCTCTTGGGGGCTTTTCTAAACAAGCTTTCTCATTGAACCGTTCAGTTGCATTCCGAACTGCATCAACAAAACAGCGGACTTTTCAGTCGGCGACTGTACATTGCAAATTGACGTGAGTGATTATTTCAATCACTAGAAGTCGAAGTTGGGATTATATATTATTGAAAATTAATTACGGGAAAGAATATGAGGAGAGATGGGACAAAAAATTTTTCCGTTATATGACCTCGAGGTAAAAAAGTAAAAAATGACGGAGTACGGCGCCTTTCGCAGTTGATCTTAATTCGTCTACGCTGGATGATTTCTCCATCATATTGTTAATAATTAGAAAAATTCTTTTTTTGTTTCAGATTTGGCTGAGCTTGCGGACGCGGGATAAATGCAGGCGCGGAGAACTCAGTTCCGGCGGATGCAGATGCAGCACCAGAGGATCCGGTTCGAGCGGGGTCGGCTCGAAGGTGGGTTCCACATACCCGCTACCGCTCTCTGTTTAAGCGCTCGCGGTCGAAAACCGAGATAGAGCCGTCGGAACGACTCGAATTACGACCACGAACGGTTAATCCACTCGTGTATCTCCACGCGTACCCGTTCGTTATGTCAAGTCCGTAAATCTAATCGGCGAAATGATATTTTCTGTTTCTAGTTCTAGCGGAACGTGGCCGGTTCCGAGTTCCAGGTTGATTCGGTGAGTAAGAAACATGGGGGAGACGAGCGTTTCAGGTGGTGGGTTTATGAGCGTTTGCGAGAATTTCGTTGGAATCAATGCGATTTACTTTGCCAGGGGATTTTCGCATGTGCGTCTGTGTCCTCTTCAACGTGACACGCCGCTCGAAACAATTAGAAGAACAATTTTAGGAACAATACACTATTTGCAGTAGAAATCTCAAATGTCGCATACGTTTCTCTTGGTATCTAACGTTGACATTTTATTGATTTATTCAAGATACTTTCACCCGTAAAAGCGAGATTTTATTTATTTATTCGCGAATTCGATTCAAATTGTGTACGGTCATTAGCGGAACCATTTATTCGCGATCGCCACTCATACGCGACCCTCTAATCGTTTCGAGCGATGTAACTATGTACAATGCGCATCAGAATTGCACCCCCCCCCCTTCCCCCCATATGTGAAACTCGTAATTATTTCACTCGCGTTGTTAGATATCGCGATTGCGAGTATTAGATTTCCCACGCGCGCATGTTATTACATTTCGCAGCTGACCTCGCAACGCATCTCGCTAAATTGGATCCGCCAGAAAATATCGCGATCTTGCTACAAAGACTTTGCGCAACGATTACTTTTTCTCGCGGACACGTTTATCCCGCGGCCGTCGCGATTTGTCGTTTTTCAATTGTTCCCGCTCACGTTCACGTCGTACATCGTTTTTTCACGCAAGATCTTGAATCTTAAATCAAATTCACGTTACGAAAGTAAGATTGTCGGGGCATATTCCTCGCATGAACATCGCAAAGTCATGCGTGAAATTTTGCGTCTCACCCCGAGTATTTCGTTGTTAGATATCGCGTTAGATCGTGAGTTTCCCAGATTTGCCACACGCGCATTTGCGTTGCGATTACGTTTCGCAATAGATGCGCGCCTCGCTGCGAATTAAATTCGGACAGGAAATATTGCGGAGGTGAGCTCCGCCGTGATGAAGTGAACAAATTTGCCATGAGGATTCCGCGCGTCTAACGATTACTTTCTCCGAGGACGCGTTTGTCTCGCGATCGTCGCGATTTTTTCAGTTTCCAGTTTCTTATAATTGCATTCACGTCGCGATTCATTCTACGCGCGGATAAACCGAATTCACGGGAGTGCTTGGGAAAAAAATATCGCGGAGTGATCATCGCGTGAGTATTGCGAAGTTATGGAGAGATTTTGCGCCACCGCCGATTGTTATAAGTACGATCAAAGGACGAAAGCTGAGGTTCCGGATGCAACGCAGGATTTTTTGTCGTCTGGACATCTCGATAGATTTCGACGCGAATTGAATTACAATATTCATATGATATCATAATGCATATTGTAAATCGCATTGATTTCCAACGTGGAGTAATCAATCGCATACCGCTTAAAACTGCAGACATTACGATATTTTAAGGATATTTCAAATTTAGGGATAGGAAAGTACAGGTTAGGATAATTTATACGGATATTGAAAGTATGACGTTTGCACGATGAGCGGAGATTGAAGTTTTTTGCTTTGATCAAACTTTAGAATACGCAATTGAAGTATCCTGCCGTAATTTCGGGGGGAAATCTTTAATAGATAAACAATGAGCTCTCTTAGTCTCAATCGTATATTATTTAAGACTGCGAACATTTTTGTTATTTTAAGGATATTTTGCATTTAAGGACATTAAAAATACGATGTTTCAGCGGAGAGGGGAAATTTTTCGCTCTGATCAAACTTTATACATAATTGAAGTATCACGCCGTAATCTCGAGGGGTTAAATTCAGGTTGTGTGTAGAACATAAACAATTAGCTCTCTTTCTTCGATAATACACTCGTCCGATATGATTCTTTGACTCAAGAACGAACGAGCAAACACCCTTAACACCCCTTCTCAATAATTCGGGTAGAATCCGAGCGTGTCGGGATTCCCGTGCGTTCGAATTGCGGCGATATGCCACGGATCTTCGTTTCCATTATCGAGCTCGCGTAGCGACGTGACAGATGGGAAAGGAAACGGATTGTTCGGCAAAAATCGTCCGGGGACGAGCCGGAAGCGATTATCGAAGGGACGAATGAAAAACTGCCCGGCGGATTATTTTGTTAACCGTTCGCGAAAACCGGCCGAAGCGCAAAAAAATAGAAAAAAAGGAAAAAACCGCAAGAGTGCCCAGGGCCGGGGGGGGNGGGGGGGGGGGGGGGGGGGGAGTGAAAACGCTGGAATCCAGATTCGGTAGATTGAGTACCGGCGATCGGTATTTATCGAGGGTCGAAAAATCTCGATATTCGATCCTCGGCGATACAACCGTCTCGCGACTGCCGTTTTAAAGCGCGACACCCGACAGATTCCGCGGCCCGTGCGCGAATATGCCCTCGTGGCCTCGTCGTTCGGCAGTTATCGCAGAGCAAACATTACGTGTACGGTCCTGTTCCGGTAATCTATCTGCAGTCGTGTCTTCGATTTTCCACGGTACAGGCTTTACGCGTGTGTGTGTAAAACAACGTGGAACGTCGAACGGGCGCGAGTTTGAATTACGTAACCGTGTGCATTTACCGGGAAACACGTGTACCACGCGTCTCGCTCGTTCTCCGGGATGGTCCGCATCCCGCCCGCCCGTTACCGCTCATCCGATCGTTCACAATAGATTATTATATGCATTCGCGTAGCCACCGCCGCCGCTCGCTATCCGCTATCGTCCGCGTAGTTGTTTGCTTTTTTGTTTTCGCAACGGGATTAAAACGTGACGCGATTTCTGCGCTTTCCGTTGCGTGTGTAACGTTCGCCCGTTGCGAGGTCGCAACGGAGGGGAAAGGACGAAAAACAAAAAAATCAGGGAGCTTTGTTAGCGAAAATAGCGCGCGCGAGCCCCGGGAAAAATCAACGTTAAGCCTCTTTCACACCGCGGGAGTTTCGTCGGAAAACACGATGAGCCATGGTGCGAGGTAGATTGAACTGGCAAACTCTCGGTGGTACCTTATATTATAGCCCGAGGCGGGATTGGCGGCGCTGTTCCCATGGCGAAAATCATCGTCGATGTCTAAAACGTTCGCCAGTAAACTCTTACTGCTCCTCTCCTGCAGCTCCAGCTCCTTCATCCGATTACTCATGAGAATGGTCTTCTTCGTGATCTTCTTGCCCGGCCGACTCATGCGCAACACGCACGGCAGCCATTGCAGGAACACGAGTTTGACCTGCGTGAAACATTGAATGTGATCGTCCCTTTAAACTTTCTCATCGCGCGCATCGTAACCCCCCCCCCTCCCCCATAAAATTTGCTCGTGGTTTTATTCGTCGAAATTTCTCGCAGAAGCGATGCAAACTCGCTCCCCAATTCCAGGGGGAAAGAATTCGAAATCGTGGCGAGCGTTGTGTTTCAAAAGTTCGTGACCGGAAAATAATGATAATTTCGACAAGTATTTTCAGCCGGAAAGAGTTACTCGTCAAACTGGAAATTCGACGCTAAGCATTTGGTGTTTGCGCGCGGTACGCAAGTATAAACTGCGGATGTTTCGCAGCGTAGAAACATACTTGCTCGAGCCCGAGTACATTTTTGGTTTGTTGACGGAACTCGCGCTAACCAACGAGTCGCGAGAGCTAGTACCAACACCTCGGAGGCATTTTAAACTTTCAAGGAGCGTGTGTCTTTGACGGTCGTAATGGTAAACGCCAGCAGGAAAAGCTTACCGTGCAAAATATATTGCCAGTTGTTATTCCCGGAGAGTTTTTTGGAAAATTGTTTCGCTTCGAGTCTGCAAATTGCTCGTTTCCTATCCCTCTCACTACTCGCAGCGATATTCAATTGTTTTAATCGTGCGCTCGCGACGTCAGCAACGAAAAATACTCGACATATGCGATTCTCGGCGCGACATTTGCTTACAATTATCCCGATATTTCGATAGATAACAATAATGTATGAAATTAGATCTTTAAATGCTTATAACCGCATTTTATTATCGTGATTATAAATTACGTTGCACTAGTTCGAGATCGTTGCCCGCTCAATTATGAAATATAATGAAAAGCAATTAAATTTATAACGATATCGGTATAATATAACAGTGACGAAAGCAAGTGCAATCTGGGCTAATCCGTTTGGTTAAGCGGCTTATTCCCCTATGTATCTAAAATGATTAACCTTTATTCGACTGAAATGTTTTACCACGGTCCACCAAGCCGTGCAGCAAATTGAAATACTCAGGAACGAATTAAAAATTATTCGAGGACATGTGTCCTTGAATTAATCTGCTCGGGAAATTATGTGTAATCAGCCGCGCGGCAAGAGCGGCGTTGATAAAAATTGAGGCGAGCAAGGAATACGGACACGCACGGTACTATGAATAAAGCATGAGCAATTTACGTACGATTGTAATAATTATTACATTTATCAATGCCATTAGCGTTTGTGTTTACTTATTAATGTTTATTGAGTTATTAATATTATTTGTGTTCGAGATTACTTCGGTTACAAACTGCTCATGTTTACTTTGACATTGTGTTATTAATAAAGGTGGATTTATTCCCGCGCACGTACACGCGTGCGTATCCTTGTTAATACACAGCTATACATATAAATGTATACACAGAAAAATACAAGTGTCAAATATCTTTGTTTCAAATACTACACAAATTTATATACTTGCAAATATATTTCATATAAGCTCACCATAAGCATCAAATTTGTTCCAAATATATTCTGAACCCCCTAATATAAGTTTCAACCAAGAATATTAAGTTAAAACCGTAAAACTTCGGTTTACTTATTCCAATCAACCGAATTTAACTTTTCTTCGATAAAGTTGATAATATTCTGGAAGAATGAGAGAACGAATTCTTCTTTGGAGTAAATGATAATGAGCTTCCTTAATATTTATGATGAATATATTTTAACATTATTATTTTTTTGTCCAAGATAACCATTACTTAAAAAGAGAATGATAAACCGAGTAATTGCTTTTCTTAACAGTACAATGATTTCTTTTCTCTGTGTACAAATCATAATTTTATCACTATATGATGATAATAATGTGAAAATATGTGTATTCCTTACCCAATTTGGCATCACGTATCTGTCGGGCGATCTGTGATGATAGTTGAGCACTAGAACGGTCAACACGACGCTGCTCGCCACCATGAACATGATGCAATTGAAGTATGATCCTGAATCGAGGTATTCCCGAAAATCCCCCGGAGAAAGAATACAAAAAGAAGGCGATTAGTCACGGAAATGGCGCGAGTCAGCGCAGTTACACAGCCGCTCTCTTTCACGAGAGTCGGGAATGAAAGATTATTCTCTCGGATTCTCTTAGCTCGCGGTTCGGATCGCGTAATCGCGCCTCCGCCGCAGATCCTGATCCCCGCGCTTCGTCCTCCACGCTCCCCATTTTTTCACCTCGCTAGTTTCATCCTTAATAATCTTTCATTCGCTTGCACGGCCGTTCGCGCGTTTCTGGCACGCGCACGAGCGCTCGCGCGAGGAGGCTCAAGAATTCGGCCACCGGGAGAATATTTATGTTCTCTAATGCGCAGGGCTCTTCGCGCTGAGCGTGAATTACGATGCGCCGGGAAGCGATGCAACTTTTAAAATGCACTTTTCTCACGATCCTTCATCGTGATGATGAATTTCCCCAGCAACGCAGCACCGACTGCATTCTGGAATCTTCCTCTGCAATCATCTCTCGTATCTCGATTACGTTTCCTCCTTTAGCTCGTTTCCTTCCTTTTCTCAGCTATTCGCGATATTCGCGTCTCTCATGCATTAACTTCGACTTTACTTTCGACTTTCTCGTCGGAGGAGAGAGTCTGCCATCGATCTATTTTCGACGAACAGTGCAGCCAGTAGTATACACATATCATTCTCCCGACGTCGCGAAAATTTGAGCCTCCTTGCGCGAATAAACACACACACACACACACACACACATACACACACATACCTATATATACACATACGCACACATACACACACATACAATCCACGATGACACACTCGCAGTCACACGGTGGCGGCTTGGTGCCGCCCGGATGGACCTGTCACGCGATCGACTCTCGCAACTCACACTGGAGGCGAAAGTTGAGAAAGAAACAATATAGACAAGCCAGGCAAGCGACTTATCGTCCAGTGATTTTAATCGGGGCAAATAATACAGCTAAAAAAAGAAGCACACGCATGCACGAGAGAGAACAACGTGCAACATTCTCTCAGCAACGAAGAAAAACGCACGTATATCTGAAAGCCATTGGAAAGGTATCTGAAAGACATCTTGCAGATGTCTCTTACGCGTCTTACATATATTTCTGTGTGTTGTGATTGGTCGTGCGATGGGAATCTCGAAAGGATGTCTCGCGCACGCATGTAAGATGTTTAAAAGGCATTTTCTGAACTTCGCGTGAGCATCCTTCGAATGTACTTGCGATTTAAGCTTTCCCACGGTCTCGCGCGGTTACTTTGCTTGGTAACTTTTATCTTCCACGGTCGTTTATTTCTAACGGTATGTGGCACTTTGATCGTTTTAAAGACGGAGTGGAGGAACACGTCGGTACGAGTAAAGTGCCGATCGGCTGTGCCGAAATCAGTCTTCCGCATTTCGCTGGAATAATGGAAGTAACTTGCACGGACTTGGACAGGCAAAAGTGCGAAAAGCGAGATACTCGGCGTACTTACATTGTGCATCAAGTGTGTGTGTAGACGCGTACGAAAGATAGCGAGAGAAAGAAAGAGAGAGAGAGAGAAAGAAAGAAGAGGCAGGTATAGCATTGTCTTGCGCACAGATATAGCGACGCAGAGAAACGTTAATAACCAACTGTCATGCAGCTACCGAAGATGCAACTCGACAGGAAATGCACGAAAACATGGGCTCCCGCGGCTAAAATCCCCTACGGCTTATCATCGACTTATCGTTAGTAACAGTAACAAATAACGGAAACACACACAGGGATGCGCATATCGTGAGAACGTTTAAGCTGCAGTCAACAAGACTACGCACTACGATCGGATTGATATGTGTAGAATTCATCTCCTGACTCTTATCTCTTAACAATGCGTTATCGTGCGTCTTCACGACACTGTGTCGAAGATGTCGTGATGCGAGTATAATGTATTAAATTGCGGCTTAAGTTGCAAGAACAGGGGCTGAAATCGAGGTGCGTTCGAGGTGCGTGTCCGTCTCGATCGCAGACGGGACTTTTACACGCGTCGGGTGAATTAGTCGGCGGATATTCACTTGTAACCCGATTTCCTCGGTTAAACTACGGTAACATTTGATTTACCTGCTCCCTCCCACGATGTGTACGAGCCTAATGTGATAACTGTACTTGGCTTGGGCAAAAATTCCACGAATTTCAAGATTAAGGCAAATCATGTACGTTATTGTGCGGGGTGAAAGTTACCTCCCGCCCTTTGCTCCGCGTACGTAATTGAGGCAAATCACGGAGTGGTCGGTCCTGGTCGATGCCGCGCACTTGAGAGACGTGTGCGCAGATCGGGTCGATTTTAAAATACCTCCTTAATAAAGACCTTGTTTCTAGAAAACGTGAAATATTCCGGCGCCACGCCGTAAAATATTCTAATATTCCACTTTCTCTCGGATTACTTTTTTACGAGCAAATAACCAAGACCCCTTTTATATATGCGCAGCGGCGCAACCGTTATATGCGCGCGCGGACGGACGCAAACGTTCCTTTGCAAATTAAAGGTTTTCAAGCGATACATTTTCATTTATACCTCCTCGCGCGCCAGTTGCGCTCGGACGCAGTCGAATATTTAATCCTCTCCGATCGTTCGCCGGCGCGAAGATTCGCTCATAATTCCAACTATGAAGCAATCCGCCCCCCCCCC